AAGCTAAGAAAAAAACTAAACACAAAAAACTACAAAATTTAAAAGTTCTGTCCTGATTATGAGAATATTCTTAATGTCGTGTCGCTAATTTCATTTAAGTAACGGGGTCTCAGCAGGGATTTCCTACAAGAAATGTGTGTTTTGAAGACTTAACCTCAGTACTGCTGTTTCTTGTTTTCTCTCAGCGAGGTCGAGTCAAGGTGATTAGTTGCCTTCAGTTAGCATATTAAATGTGCATTCCTCTAGTCATGCACATTTAGTGCACAGTGACTCAGTGTTTGCTCACTTTCAGAACCCTGGTATGCTGAAAGGGGTCATGCAGAAGGTCAACCCATTCAAGCCTAGCTCACAGGTAATAGGATTGTTTCAATGTTACCAAGAAAATAGTGGCAGTAATAATAGGTCGTCCACTATGCTGGGTTTCTCACACAGGTCTCCAAAGCACCATATTCAGAGTTGCCGGAGCGGGGAAAGGAAAACTCTACTCAGGTAGGAAAAAGTTGAGAATCTGCATGAATTTGATGTCAGAAATCTGATGGTAGAAAAAAAATCACTTGATCATAAGTTCCTTCAAGTCACTAGTGACGACCTGTACATCCACACACATTTCTTGAAACTGGATTTCCTAACATTTGAGATGACATTGCTGAAAAGCCCCTACAGATTTTCACAAGACAAAAAAGGTCAAAATGGGGACAAAATACCATATGACCTTTAACATCTGATCATCATGTTACACAAAAATTCACACAGATGTGGAAGGAAAAACCCCAAAGTCTGATAGTTATGCTGTTGTTTCAGAACTCTGGAATGTTGAAAGGAATGATGCAGAAAGTCAACCCCTTCAAGTCTTCTGCACAGGTACGCAACTCTACCTTTGATGTCTGTTCTCAGCATGCGGCCTCGGAGGTCAAATCATCTTTATATGAACTATGTTTAAAGACACCGCAGTTTCAAAATTGTAAAGCTTTGTATCTTTGTCAGACGCCAATATCTAGTCTATGGACGACTGAATGAAATTTTCTAATTCTGCCTGTTGAATTCTTATTTTAATACAAACTTTGGGAGTTGTGCCAATTGGCGTGTTCAGACTGATTACAAAGTTAGATACAAAGTCAATGCAAAGACACAGCAGGTGACGCAAGTAGAAGCAAATACTATGATGGGTCCTAAAGCCACTGGCAATGGGAAAACAAGGTCAAGCCTGTTGTCACTATTTGCATTCATCTGGAGCTCCTGTGGCGACACGCAAAGCAAAAAACATTAACCTGAAAATGTTTTCATAATAACTTTGTAAGGAAGTGGTTGTCTTGTTCATTGGCTCAGACATTTGTGGGCTGGCAACATTTCACTTCCTGTTTGGTCCGACTCCAATCTATCAGTTAAAGTACAAACTGAATCTGTAACATCTACATTTTAGTTGCTCACTTTGAGACCTTTTTCTGCAAAAAAACAAAAACAAATAAAGAAAAAAACAGATTTTGAACCTGACACTTCCTCTCATCTCCTTTGACTTTAGAGTGATCCTCCAGATGATTCTGCAAATCATCAAGAGACTGGGAAAGAACTTCAAGACAAACAAGTACTGCTCCAAGTTCTGCATAATCTACTACCCTCTGTGTTAATTTGTGGCTTGTTCTTGCAGTGCTGGGCCTCCTTATTTATTGACTTATTTTTAAATAATAATTTAGAATCCAGGAATGATTCAGAAAGTCAACCCATTCAGATCCTCACAGCCAAAGGTTTCATTTTTAATAATAATTACTGATAATTTAATTGTTGAACGC